CTTCTTCCTTCTTCCTTCTTTTTTCCTTCTTTCTTCCTTCTTCCTTCTTCTTCTTCCTTCTTCCTTCCTTCCTTCCTTCCTTCTTCTTCTTCTTCCTTCTTCCTTCTTCCTCCTTCTTCCTTCTTCTTCTTCTTCTTCTTCTTCTTCTTCTTCTTCTTCTTCTTCTTCCTTCTTCCTTCTTCTTCTTCTTCCTTCTTCTTCCTTCCTTCTTTCTTCTTCTTCCTTCCTTCTTTCTTCTTCTTCCTTCTTCCTTCTTCTTCCTTCTTCTTCTTCCTTCTTCCTTCCTTCCTTCTTCCTCCTTCTTCCTTCCTTTCTTCTTCCTTCTTCCTTCCTTCCTTCTTCCTTCTTCCTTCTTCTTCTTCTTCCTTCTTCCTTCTTTTTTTCTTCTTCTTCCTTCTTCCTTCTTTTTTCCTTCTTTCTTCCTTCTTCTTCCTTCTTCCTTCTTCCTTCTTTTTTCCTTCCTTCTTCCTTCTTCTTCCTTCTTCCTTCTTCCTCCTTCTTCCTTCTTCTTCTTCTTCTTCTTCTTCTTCTTCTTCTTCCTTCTTCTTCCTTCCTTCTTTCTTCTTCTTCCTTCTTCCTTCCTTCCTTCCTTCCTTCCTACTTCTTCATTCTTCTTCTCCTTCTTCCTATTCCTTCTTCCTCTTCTTATTCCTTCTTCCTTCTTCTTCGTCATTTGGACAATCAGTAATTTGTTTATTCCTTGGCGCTTTCAGACAGTTGCGTGGAGAACGACAGCCTATCCCTGCTGGACAAGACGCTGGATGATCAGGGAGACACAGCAAGCATCCGCAGCCGGGGTAGCGTCCACTCCGTGGGCAGCGGCGACCAGCAGCAGAAAGGCGTGGCCATGCCACGGCTCGAGCCTTTCAGCCCCGGACAGGTGTTCAACCACAGCCATGCATGCCAGGTCCTGGTGCTGCCAGCTACTGACGACCACATCATGGAGGTCAATGCCACATGACCCTGGTGACGGCGTCACCAACAACCTTCACGTAGGACTGAACCTGTGGCCTGGATGGACTCTACTGAGATTGTTTTAAATCTGAGACGACTCGGGTCCACGAGTCCATTTCTGACACGGCTGCAGGTTGTCGTATGGACTCACTCCTAAGCATGAAACCCACTGCAGACGTCACGGACTAGCCAGTGAAGAGCCAATGACATCTGCTGATTAAGTTTAAATAAAGATTTTTCTTTGCCATACTTTGTACATAGCTCATTGAATGGATTTATAGGTATAAATATATATAAATAAATAAATATATATATATACGGACTGATCGGTGAGATCGGTGCCTGTCGTACTATTTCGAACTGAAGAAGGAAAAAAAACACTCCTGATTGTCCCGTGATGCACCAAAGCCCTAGATGTGTGTACGCCTTGACCATCTACTCAAGTACTGTAACAACTGAGTGTGTCCAGCTGTTGTGTGCCTCTTCTGTAGTCATCTTTTTTTTTTTATATTTGAGATTTTTGCTTGTTTTTGAGTCATTGAACTCTGATGTGTCTTTGGAGACGTTATCTTATAATCCCAACAGACTCCTTCGTCCTAGTACTGAGGTAAATAATCATGATAATCTCCCAAGTTTACTACATGATTTCAGCATGATAAAAGTCAGTCCAGCACACATGAGGCACCAAAAATGAAAGTGTAGAGCTATTATTGAAAATGACCAATGCACCATCTGTGCATCTGTAAAAAAATAACCCAGGTTACCTGTTCAAATGTCTGAACGTGTTGCTCTTCTTTCCATAGTATAGATTAAATGTGCTGCACAGGCTTTATTACTTCTACTCTTGGGTATAAAGATCTTTAAAATGTTCACGTCTCCAAAAACGCACATAGATGTGCTAAAGAACTTCTATTTATTTTTAGCAAAGACAAAGCCGTATGTTTTCTGACTCAAACGAAAACATGAGAATGAAACTCTCAAATATAAACCCGGCAATGACACGAAAGGCTCCGATTGTAGTGGTTTGTTTGTGTGTATGTGTGTTGCATTTCTGTTCCGCTGTAGCGCTGTGTCCATGGACGTGATCAGACGAGACTTTTACACGAGGATCAGCCGGTGCACATTGTCTGTCAGTGCATTGTTTATCTACTGGGTGTGTATATTTATTGTGTGTGTGTGCGTGCCAAATCCATGTCCGAGCTATGCACACATACCGGTGATGTCGAATGGATGAGTGAAATAAGCCGCTGTTAGATTTATTCATGCATTTGTTTGAAAGGATGAACTCTAGCTACTTCTACCCCCGCCCCCTCCTCCACCCATGTCCTCCTCTGTGGTGCATGCGCACACAGCGCGGCTACAGCCTCCTGCTCCTCTTTGACCACTGTACATACTTCTGTGTAAATAATGATTCAAAGGAAAATCATCTTTGATTGCCAACTATATTAAAAAAAAAAGCATTGGGATCTCTGTGGATGTCTGTTTTCTATAATATCATGTTAGCAAGAAAATGGTTTGAAAGATTGACTTGTGTTGATATTTGTGCAGCATGAAAAACACAACAGGGAATCCTCACTTGCTGACCTCGGTGTAAGAAATGATTCACAATGTATCAGTTTACAAGTCAAAAATATGCTTTTCCCAAATGTTCCATGTTGACT